AAAATTTATTCGATCCAATTTTTATATATTATAAATATATATATATATATATATATATATATTCAGTTACAGAAAATATATATATTATTTTATTTGTATAAAAATTCTTCTTTTATATATTCGTGAAGCAAAATGTATATTTTATAATATAAAATATACATTTTAAATATAAATTCGATTTTTAAATTTTATAGTTTATACATCTTCTTATACAGATTATCCAAAAATATGAGAAGACTGATTAAGAGGTGATTTAGAAGATTTCTGAAGTAATTTCAAGCAACGTTTTTCTTTGCAAGAACAGTGTTTTTTGTTAATATTTCGTTAACGAAGTTTTAATGAAAGTTTTTGCAAAGGATAATGTTATGTTGAAATTAAATCTTCCAGTTTCTCACATTTTTGAAACACGTGTATTTTATATATTAAACAGAAAGAGTTGACTGTTTATTTCTAATTCTGTGCTTATGTTCATTAAGGATTTAAATTCATATAAATATCCGCAGTCTAGCCGCTACTAGTAGAATACATATTTCTAATTAAACGTGGTGGAAGATTGCACACGGCAATGTTCCCTTTGGTATTCGATTTGCATTCCCCCTTTCTTTAACCTCGTTTCCACGCAAAACTCGCATTGTTATGCCACGTATAGGCTGAGACCGGATAGAATGGGCTATAAGATCCGAAATGTTAATCCATTCGATGCGCGTCGTCTCGTTTGCGTCTCCAATAAATCACAATATTCTGGAATAAATTCGAAATGGAAGAAGTAGGTGGCCCAAATTTTATCGTTTGATTAAAAATAAAAACATTGCTAAAAAATTTACCATCTTTATTTTTTATTTTTTTTTTTTTTTCATTTTTATGACGAAAATATGATCGTAAAGTTTTCAATTATTCTCCTCATCTTTAAATTTATTTTTTATATCTTTTAAAATTTTTTTAATGAAATAACGCTAATAAATTTTCGTTTTAGAGTTGTTAACTTTTCATATTTTTTTTACATCACAATTAAATATATCCTTTTACTTATAAATTCATTCATTTTTATTTATTTATAAGATATGGAATTATGATTTGAAAAATGTTATAACGAAGAAGTAATTTCGGTTATTCTTTGATTATTAGATGAAAAAATATAATAAGGGGTGTGCGTTAAACGATTAGGCAACAGATTTTATAATATTAGAAAGTAAACAGGTTGTTATCTTCGAATTTCATTGCGTTTAATTGCAATATTTCAAGTTGTAGCATATCCGGTTAGATTGATCGGTAAAATGTTAAATGTACGGGCAATTATTTTAAGAATACATTACATTATACATTATTACAAATTTTAGTTTTTATACTTTACTCATTCGTCATTTATTTATTTTAGAAAAATTTTTTCCAAGAAATATTCAGTATTATGTATATTATAATTATATTGCAATATAAAATCGGTTTCTATATTTTATACAATATTTCATAATTTACATAATAATTTTTTTTTATAATTTGTAATCGATATATTTCTCTGATATTTCGTTATTTCGATTTAAAAAATATGGTACCCAACATAATAAATTTTATTTTTATTTAGCCAGCTTAAATTACTTTTGACAGAAAAGTTATTCGTTCATTTATCATCAATCATATCATTTTTTGAACACATATCGATGCTTATCGAAAATTATTTTTCTCGTACTTTTAGGAGACAAAAATGATAGGCTGGTTGTACGCGAAATATTATTTTCGTAAATATCTTGGAAAAAGTCCATTTTTCCATTGATTTACAATAATCGTGATTTTTATTTTCATTCAAATTTTCTTTTCGATCGAAAAATCAATTTTATGTTCATCCATCATCTGTACAATTTTTAATTCGAATCGAATTTACGTTATGTTTTCAAATTTAAACTTATAATTAAGATTCAAGAATTTAATATTCAGTCAATGCACACCGCGTTCAGCTTCCAAAGAAACACTTCCAAACACTTTCCAAAGCGTTCACAGAGACGGTTGGAATGATTTATCTACGATCCAGTTTCCTCGATTAATCCATTATCCTTCGGTTCTTGGTCATTAAAGCGTCGTTGATCGCGATATTTAAACAAAATGTATCTGTTATGGCTCTTAATCGGTATTCAGGAAACGATTCGGTTCGTTTAATTGGAACCGCGAATGTTGTCGAGGGAAAAGTAGATTTTCTCTAGTATGAAAATGAATATAAATAATCGTGTTAATGGTTAATGGACAAGGTTTTCGAAGTCAAAGTATGTTCAGTGGCGCGTTGGAGCCTCGATGAACCGGAAATAACAGAAAGCGGGATCGTCTTCGAAACGGGGAAACGATGTTATTGAATTTCTCTTACGCTGCTTCTATCTTTGGTGGAAATGAATATGATAGAAAAGTGGACACTTTATATCTATTTATGATAAAACACGTGAGAAATTATAGATAATTTGTAGAGTGGAACGAAGAAATTAAAATAATCATGATTATTTTGCTAGAAAAAAAAAAGAAACTTTTAATCTTCAAAATTTTGTTTCGAGCGTGTTTCAAACAAACAAGATGTCTTTCTTCTCAAAATCAATCAAGGGTATCACTTTCTTTATTCACATTATAATTACCAATACAATATTTTTAGAATTAAATCACATATAAACGAACCAAATTATTTTTATCTTAAAATTATTAAACATATACGAAACGCGAGAATTATTTGGCAAGAATGAAGAAATTTCTGAAATTAAATTCAAAATCGTGTCGAGAAATTTTCCTAAAAAAAAAAAAAAAAAAAAAAAAAAATCGTAGCGTCAAGGGAATCGAAGCACGTCCTCGTCGATGGCGAGGAACCCGGAAGGAATAGGTCGTCTCATCATCTGCCCGGTGCGGATTCACTGCGGCCAGGTGAGCACAGGTAAATACACCCGGTCCAGTGCACGGCTGGCCGTCGACTCGGTAGGTAGCTCGGCAGAGAAGAGGGATCGAGTGCGTTCAACCCGTGGATCGCGCGTGATCCGACCTTGACACCGCGAGATCCGAGTGGAAGCCATTGCGACCATGTGACCAACGCGATCCCAGACGCCAGAGGACGCTTCCTGTCTGGTACGTGTGCTACTGTACGAGACCCTTTTTTTTTTCGAATCTCGTTGTCGAGAATTCTCCCCGAGTTGAGATAGGACGGCGAAGAAGATCGAGCGAAGAAAAAGCGGGTTACCAGGCTACCGATGCCCTGTGAACCGTGGATCGCGACGGGGGATAAAGGAACGGGGTATATTTATTCCGCGTGCGATCGAGCGTGTAGGCGCCGGTTGAATTTCAAATCGTGCTGCCGATCCCGACGTCTCATTTTCGTGTGGAAAGGAAAATATGGGCGTTTCGAATACCATATTGTCAAAAGATCAGAGTTTCGAGAGAAAATGGACGAATTGATTTCTTAGGATCGTGGTAGATTGTTCTGGTGGAGTTTGACGGAGATTTTTGGTGGTGATGGTTTTTCGAACTGTCGTATTGTCGTTGTTTAGGTGAATTAGGTGCGAAAGTGTTTTCTTGAAGATTTGGAGACCTTTTTTTTTTTTTTTGTTGTCAAAGATTGCTTTCTTGCGCTTTTTTATTTGAATTTTAAATTATTTTTTCTAATATTTATGTATCGATATATTTTATATTCGAACGTTCATTATTGATTTCTCATGTATTTTTTTTTTAGTATTAATTGAGTTAAGATTAGGGCTCTCCTTGTTTGCAAAATTT